AATTGAGTTAAAATATGATATTGACTTTTAAACAAATCATTAATAACTTATCTTACAAACTAAATAAAAATTTTACCAGTAGAATATTTTGTTATATTAAATTGTCAAATAGTAAATAATATCACAATAGATAAAATCATGTTATATTGTTTTACTATTGTCAGTATATAATAAAATGTATATATATATATATATTATAATTAGTTTTTAAAAAGACTGAAATTACGTTCACATAAATTTTAAGCTGAATAGTAATAATAAATAATTTATAGAATTATAGTTAGAAAATTGTAATACACTATTAATGATGTAATTTATAACTTCAATTTTTATTTATAAAATCGAGATTAAATTCAAGAAAAAACTTTCAATAAATTCAAAAAAGGTAATCGTAAAGCTTTTAAAGAATGAATAATAAAGAATATAATTTTTTTTCTATGTCGTTAAAATTAATATTTAGTGAATGTATTGTTATACCGTTCATTTGAATGACAAAGTCTTTTAGAAGACTTTTCTATTAGGAATGTGACAAACTAATGTAAGAAAAACATTGCAAAGACACTGCTTTTATATATTATGAGAAATAAACAAAATATTACTGCACTTTAAAATTTAGAAATAAATATTAGCAATTACCCATATTTTTCAGTTATAAAATAATAATTATCGCAATCAATAGTTATGTATACGTGAGTTTCTTTATTAAAAAAAAAGTTATTATTTGTGATTTTACATTATTAAAATGTTAAATGACTCTACTCTATTAACATAAAAATATTGGCTCACTCAACAGTAAGATGTTTTATAGCAGTTTCCATAACTGTTTGATATCAGATAATATTAATTTGAAAATTGCACAAATTTATATCAATTTAATATTCGCTTATTTAAAATTTTAACTCGTTTAAATTGAAGTTTGAACCTCCTATGGATTATCTCTTACAGAACCGTAGAGTATTTCATAAAATAGTTTTGCATGGCTTAACTAATATTGCCGTGCGCGGTACTTCAAACCATGTTAGCATAGATTATTACTTGTAATATTTAATTCTATATAAAAAATTAACAGCATTCAATCATAGCTATTGCAGTATTATTATTCATATTCACATATTCAATTGCATCATTTCTCCATTGCCTATTGTTTTTTATTAATTAATAATTGTGTACGAGAATATATCAAATATATCCTACATGCGACGCTTCCTTTATCTCTGTTTATTGAACCTAATCTAATGAATTTATACAACATTAAAAATTGCTTAATTACTAAAAAAATATATTCTAAATGACACAAGTAAGAAAGAAAAAATACTAATATTATTAATTAATATAAACAATATTATTATTTAATTATATAATATTAGAGTGAGTATACAGAGACAGTGCTAGGAAAATAAGTTTTTTTTTTATTGAATATCATTTATATTTAGGAATATGCGAATTTTATAATAACTTAAGGTAGTTGATATTTATTGATCTAATTCTTAAGATTAATCAACTCGTACTATAGATACCCAAGAAATAATGTCCAATTTAAAATACTTCTTTTCCATTTTGATACGCATATTTCTATTTATCGTTATACATTAACAATAATGTGAAGCAACATTTCAATTGGTAAGCTAAATTCATAAAATAATCAGTCATAACATATTAATTTGTATTATATTTATAAATTTTATTTTTATTTAATTTAATTTTCTCATTATATAATTTTTTCAGTTATAGTATGTCGTTTTAAACTAAGTAATTAAAAAATTAATGGCTAAATACCAATGAATATCTTTTTAATAATATTAAATAACATTCATTTTACTATAACGATTAAATTTTCAATGAAATTGGATTTTATAGATTAAATATAATTAATTAATTTAAATTAAGTATTTGTTAAAAAGAATATAACATTCTATTATATTTATTTAATATTATACTTATTTATATAGGTGTTCACTCAATACAATAAAATATTTGTCGCATTTTACTCAGTGTTCCAACGAATATTCATTAACTAATGGAAATACTAAGTTTCACTGTATACTTAATTGTAGATTTTTGCAAATGTATTTTTATTGTATTGGTAAATATTTAAATAATTTGTATAAATCTACATCAACATTTTTATAAATTAGAATTTATTTATATTATATGAATAATGGTTATTGTAAAACAGTGAATTCCAAATCAAATTAAAAACCTTTATATTATTAATTATTAATAATATTTTACTACTAATATTGATTTCTAATCATGTAATGATATATTTTTAAAATATGATGAGCACAAAGAAAACGGCTCATTGTTAGCGAATGATTCTTTTAAATTGAATATTCCGTACTTCTATTTAATAATCTTATTGATTTAATTGTTATTCTATGGTGCTTTGCATGTCTCTATTGGACTCTGCATGTCATATAGGGTATCGTAAGTACAAAATAACAAAACTACTCTATCATTATCAAAACTTCATTAACATGGTCAAACACTTTTTCCCTCGTAGATATGGGAAAATATAAATTATTAGCGTGCTAGAAATACATATTTGATGTTTAAAATTAATATTTATATTTACATGTCAAAATATAAAGATGTTCATTTTCGTAATAGAACAATTTTTTATACGTTTAATGACAGTATTTACTTATGTACTTTTGTCTAATTTAAAAAAATAAATAACTTCTGAAATATAATAATAAAATAGGGCAACGAATTTTTCATTTATCAAGTAAAAAATGTATAAATTAAAATAATTAAATCTTAACTGACCTTACAAGAAATTTATAATTACTATTTTAATTTAATCATTTATAAACAATTATTTAATAAAATATTTTTGAAATCTGTATAACTCATTTGTCATATCCTAATATGGAATGACAAGGATAAAATTCAATTGGACTTAGCTTTCTTGAATAATAAATGATAAATAAAACTGTATAATTTCATTTATTGCAATAAAAAAACATGTATATACTAGGTATTTGCGTTATTAATAGGATTAATAATTGAATATCTGAAAACTATTCTCGTAACATAAAATTTCATCAATATACATAGCATTTAAATATGCATCAATTGAAAATATATTTTAAAAATATGATTTTATACAAAATTTCAATTCGAGTCATTTTTAATACTGAAAATATATTTCACTTTATATTTATCCTTAATATTATATATTAATATATATATTCCTTAATATATAATGTAATTATAAAATGAAATTCTTTACTCATATCTTAAAATGAAATGTACAATTTTTGGCAAATAAATAAATTGAGTTTTAAATAAAATAAAGAATAGATTTAAACAGTCAAACATTGAATCAAATTCTTTTATAAATATATATATATATTAGAATAATTCACCTGCAATAGTAGTTATATTATGAATGATAATAGTTTTCTTCTATATAATATTTTTATATTTTTCTACAAAATAACATTCAAATAAATGTTTACTAATAGATATCATAGCTTATTTGAATTATTAAAATTTTTAAAAACAATTATAACTTAAAATTAAAAATCGTTTAATTTTGATGTTTCATTTCTAAAAAGTGGCTTTGATAACAAATTGATAATACTTATATCATATAATTAGTTGCCCTTACTTCTTACTTTTTATAATATAATTAATTACACGTAATATGTAACTTACGTTGTCACAATCGATAATAGTAAAATGTAGTAAAAATAAATTTAAATAAAAAAAATTTTTAATCGTAAATTTATTAATTTTTTAACCAGTACATTATTAGTAAAATATTATAGAATATCGTTAAAATATTATTTTCATAACTCGAAAATTCTTAATATCTTAAAATCAGTTACTTGTCCATGATAATAGTTTCAGTATTAAATATAAGAATATCACATTCAATATTACAATAATATTCATATAAAATTCTATGATTTATTACTGTAGTACTATAAATTACTGTTTATTTTTAATATGTCACCTATACGATTTAATAAATAAGTTCTTGTTATTTTATTTTGCGTGCCAAGCAGTTTCTTTTATTTTTTATTTTGTGCCTATCGCGTGCAAAAAATTCAAAAGAAGAAAATGACATAATTGGCTTACAATCTTGTATAATTAAATTAATTCTTATAAATTTATTTAATATTATTGTAAATAGGAAATCAAATTTTTATATGTATATGTGCTTGAATGTAACAAAATTTATTTTTATCTATTTTGTCTAAATTGAAATTGTTTTTACTACGTGTATTTTTAATTTAAATATAATGTAAATTTTCATTACATAAATTACTGCTTACCTTATTAATACTTTACATTTGATTAAATACAAAAGTTTTTAAAGTGTATTTACGTTTAACTACAGACCTTTCTTTTTTTATATATAATTTGCTGCTTCCTTGTTTTTCTTCTACATTTTCTTTTCTAATATTATAATTTTTTTATTTTTTTTATTTAGATATCAGATACTCTTAATTTTTGTACTCAAGGCGAATCTTTAAATATTCTCAGTATAATGAAACGAAAATAGAACTGAGTATTCGTACCTTTCATTATGTGACATTTGTATTTAGGTTATACCGATATTCTTTAAAATTTTTTTAAATTAAATTATTCTTCAATAATTTTTCAAATATGTCTATATTTGTAATACAGAAGAGTTTTTTCCCAATAAATATCATTTGAATTTCTTATATATTATTCAATTTTACTGTTTTGTTATATAAATTTAATATACCTTAGTGTATATATAGGAAAATAATACGTATAGTACTAAAAATCAATAGTCTTAGAAAATCAAATTTATTAATCTGTAATTGAAAAGTACTTTTAAAAAGATTCGCTGCGAGCCAGTTAATTCGGCTAATTTATTTAATACCTTTTTTTTTATACAAAATAGTTTAAAAATAACGATGCATCATACATACGCAGAGTTTGATCAAGTCAAAATTAGGCTTGCATACGACTCTCAAGGATTGCCTGAAACTAATGGAATTTCTCTTGATACGATTTAGGACAAGGAAGATGGGCCACTTTACAAGTTTTATGAGATGATGCGCGACCAGGGTGACGAGTTCATGAAATCGGTTTCGCGCTACCCGAATGTTACACTTTTCGCTCCACGTAACGCTGCCTGGGAGGAGCCTGGGGTAAAACTGATACTCCAGGACAAAAAACGACTTAAGGAGCTGCTTAACCTGCACTATGTGCGGGAGTACCTGCCGCTTGAAATAATTGAGAAAAAGACGATACGCCAGGTCGGTATTCGCTTTTTTCATTTGATCTTTTTTGAATAGATAGAGTAATAATATGTAACATGAAAAATTAATTATAATTAGAAAAAACATACTGATCGATCATAAGTAATAAATAATATATACAATAGTTAAAATAATAAATTATATTTTTAATATACTGTATATTTAGATTGTAAAATCTTACTTAATACTTTTTGAATTACAAATATATTTCTTTATCGAATATGTTTAAAACAATAGACTTATTACATTAACTTGAAATTCATAAGGTTTTAATGCATTTTTTAAAAATACTGAAAAATTTTCAGTAAGAAAAGTTTTTATAAATATTTGTATATAAGAAGATTCTCATTAATGAATATATTTTTAACTTAGTATGGTGTTAAATATATTTTTATTATTTTATAATTTATTTAGATTAATTATAAGAAATGGAGATTGATTAATTTTTAAACGAATCTGCTTTTATATTTGTAACGATTTAAGACAATTTCATTTATAAATATATAATTTTAATATTTATATTAACTGAACAACATTAAATATTTTGAATAATTAAAAATTATATTAAAACTTAATAGTTTAGTCTATATGTAATGTTTTTTTTTATTTATGTGGATTTTTTAATTATTAATATATATTTGTACTAATTAATTTATGATGAACAATACTTAATTGATATAAAACTTTAACGTAATAATATAATATTATATTTACAATAATTATAAATGAATCAACATTTATATTTATCATTTATATATCATGTATATTCTAAGTTTTTATCATAATAACAAAAATAATTTATTTAGTATTCATTAAATGATCTGATACATTTTTAAATAATTTGTCAAACTAATAAACTATTTATTTTGAGATATATATTTAATATATATAAATTTTAATCATAGTATTGAAAATATATATCTAACTTCTTTTATATTTTTCAAGCCTCATTGGTTTGGTAAGACATACTACTCGGTAATTAATTTTTATATATTTGAATTGTTAGTATATTTAGACAATTGTATTGTGTTAAGTATTTCTATTTGTTTAGACTATTACATTGTGCAAGTGTACTTTCATAAATCTCACTTTATTGTTGCATGATTATTATTTTGGTTAAATTTTGAAATAATTTAGTATATTGAAATAAGTATAGTAGTAGCATAAAATATACGTTACACAACAAAAATTTGATAAAATTATTTTTTTTCAGAACAGATTGTTTGAAATTAACTAGTAACATTTGAATGATTTTTTCATGAATAAATTGTTAATTAGTTATGATACTTTACGCTAACTTTAAAAATATTAATGCATTAAGCATGTAAATTACAAAATTTGTTGTTTTATAAATATTATTAATTTTTTTATTAATATTATAATCTTTACATACACATCGTTTAAAAATAATATTAAATCTTTCTTATAAATTTTTATTACTGTGTAATTTAATATGTTGGTTTGTAAATATGTATAGCCTACCGTATTCTTTATTGTATAATATAAATATTAATTAATTTCAGTATTGAAAAGTAAATGATAATATTTATAATAATGTAATTTAATTTAATTTTATCAAATTATTTTAAATTATAACAGAAATAGTATTGCTAAGAAAAAATTATCATAAATATTCAAAAATGCATAAATTACTGTATGTTTCTATTCATAGAAGTAAGTTTTATCAAATCAACAAAATCAATAATGTTAATATAATATTGATATAAGTAGCTGAGACAAAATGTTACTAATGACAAAATACAACTCCTTCAACCTTATATCTGTGAGAATTTTCATATAGCTTAAAAAATTTTAATTGTAATTAATATTTAATTATAAATGCATATAAATACATCACTATAATCATATAAGTTATTGTAATTATTTTATAAAAAAAAATGGATGATAAATCTGGAAAAATACATTGTATCTAAATAATTTTAATAATTTTTTATTATATGCATACATACATTATGTACATACATTTGTATGGTTTATCCAATGTACAAGATAACGATATGTTTTACCTATAATTATAGATATCTGTTACAACTAATTTCAATGCATACATTTTATTTTTAATTTTATAAAATTATCAAATGTGTAAATAAAATTTAAATTATATATTTATTATACACAATATAAAATCAATATAAAAGACTATTCTGTCGTACTTCATATTCGTATGCTAAAATTCTTTATTTTCTGTAATATAAAGGAATATATTTAAAATAACTGAAACATTCATTCGGTATCTGTAGTTTTATTTTATTTTTATAATTCAATTATAAATTAAAAAAAATTACGACTTGCATTAACAATTAATTGAATTAATTTTAAATAAATATAACTTGTAGAATGAAATACCTATTTAAATAAGCTCGCGCTAACTGTTGAAATACTGTATATTCTTTAGTTTTATTTTTAGCATGTATTTTCAAAAAATATTATACTTTTATTGTTAACAAATTAAAAGTTTATAATTTAAATATTTAGATTAGTAAATAGTATTAAGTAGCCTTAATATTAATATTCGTCACAAAAAATAAAATATTCAGAAATATTTGGTCATTAAATTGACTAACATTCGTTAGGCTGTCTTACCGCATTATACAGTTTTCAAAATTCAGTTCAATATATACAGGCATATTTTATTAAATATTTATTGATTAAAATCTATATTTATATTTGTTTAAAAGGTTTTTTGCGTAATTTTACGCGTAAAACGCGTAAATTTTCGATTGTATTCTAGCGATTGTATATATTTAATTAATTTGCATGTGAAAATTCAGATCTCCTTATTCATAATTGTAATTCTTTATAAATGTTTAATTAGATATATTTCAACATAATAGATATTTTAATGTATATTTAAATTATAATCAGTAGTTTATTCAATTTAGTGCTGATTCGGTAGTTTATAAATTTTAAGTAGAATTTTTTTAACAATTATAAATAACTTAAATAACAAGTTTTGAATTATAAAATGATGACAGTAGTATTATGAATGATAAGACATTTCATTACGTTTTATGTTCGTGTTTGAATTTTTTATTTTTCGTTTCGATGTATCTAGAGAAGTTTTTTAATATTTCAAGTTTGACTATCTTGGAGAATAATTTCTGTGACACTAATTTGCATAGAGCAGCTTAAAATACTTGTACTTATGCTAATAAGTTGTAACTGTGCTTACTTTCTTTTTTTCTTTTTGCAATTTTAGATATAATGATTTCAAATTTTTAGTTTAAAGAAAAAGTATTCTATTTGTATAAATTTATAATTTATTCCCATAACACATTGGTAATGATATTATAATATGTTTATTACTTTATTGTATTGCTAAACATTAAAATAAAAACCTTCATTGTAATTTCCATTATACAGATAAATTATATTTAACTTGATACCTTTCAATTACAAACATTCACACTACTATTTTGTTAAATTATAAAAGAATTGTGATAACATTAATGAATATTTTAATGTTTGAATTAAAATACTAATACACGAAGTATTAATATAATTGCTAATCCGAAATAATTTTCGTAATTAATTTAATTATTGTATAAATTAAATGTAATTGAAGAAAATACATATAATTGATCAATAATATGTTCAATATAAGGCCAACTTCAATATAAATGATATAGAACAAAGAGGCCATTGATTAATAATAAATAGAAAATTTGTTTAAATGCTTGTATACTTTATTTATAATTAAAAATAATAAATAGAGCTGGATGAAATTCATTGTTAAGTTTTAAAAATGTAGCATTTATTTGTATTAATTACACTTATTTGTTATTGAATATTTTTAATGTATTTAGATACATTTTAAATATTTGCCATTTTTTAAAGAAATAAATGCATATTTTGTTACAAATAAAGCTTTCTTTTATTAACATTTAATTCGTTTTTCGTTATATTTAGAATGATAATTTAAATTTGAAAAAATAACAGATTAATAAAAATGTATCAAATTCAGTAATGTTATGTGCAATGTGTAAATTTATTATTGAACTTATTGTATATAATTATATCATATTTCAATATGGATATACATATTATTATGGAGCTATTAATATATAATATTATGAATAAATTTCATTAATTTAGTAAAAAAAATTAATTTTTTTCAACATTAATATTACAAATAATGCAAAATTGATAGAAATTTCATTAAATTCTGTAGTAACATTATCCTTAAAATTATTATGACTAAAAAACCAAAGCATGAAGCTAATATTTTTTCCATTGTAGTTCTTACAATAATATTCATACAAGATATATTATAATTTCATATTAGTAATAAGTAATTGAATAATTGAATTAGTTAAGATGATAGAGATAATTAATATTTTTAATATAGTTATTATGTAATATTGATTTATAATAATTACATTTCAACAGAAAATTGTTTTTTATCATATAATATTTTTATTTCTGATTGTTACCTCCATTATCATTAAATTTTAATCATAAAACTTTCTTAATGTACTTGTAAAAATGTTGTATATATACTTGTAAAAAACTTGTAAAAATCACATCGCTTATTGGTTCAGTTTCACAGTAATTATAATTGAATACTATTTTATTGTGCTATACTTCAGCAAAACAATAAAGAGCAGTCAAATTATTAAGTGTCCATTGTTAATTAAAAATAAATATCGATATACATGCAAACTGATTATTGAATGACGTTCGGTAGGTTAATACAGCGGCACCTCGTACGAGCCTATATTTCAATGTCGTGGAAGGACCATCAGGAAACCATACGGTAACAGTGGAAGGCGGTGGTGTTAACGCGACCATCATTACTGCTAATATCGGCGCGACAAATGGTATCATACACATCATCGATAGGGTTCTCGGTGTTCCTTACACAACTCTTCTTGATAAGCTGAAGACTGATCCAACTCTCAAGTGAGTCTGATTCTTGAGAAATACGATTTGGCCTTATTTCGACTTTCAGAAAACCTAATCTTTCATTATATTTTATTTTAATATTATAATATATACAAGGACTTGTGAGTAATACATAGCCAATAAGATGAATTCAAATTTTGAATTAAATAGCTATATATAATATATAAAATAATAAAATAATAAACAAATACCTTAATGCTCTAATTATATGTTTACTTAATTGCAGGGCGGTAAATAAAATATGTTATTATTAATCTGAAACTGCATTAAGTGAAATCGTATACTATAAACTAACTTAAAAATAACTGAAATAAAAGGAAGAAAAATAAATTGTTACCGAACAATGGAATCCTATATATCATTGTATCGAAAAAGTCCGTAACAATATATGTCCTTAAATCTATTAATTTTCAACTAATTAAAAATTAAATCTTAATTAAAACTAGGTAGATGATGAGTATTTATTATTCTGAGTTTATGCTTGAAAGTTGCTGATAACAAAATAATTACGAGAGTATGTTTACGAATAGGAATATCAAAGACACATTATAATATAATGAATACTGACGAAACATATTGTGAATAGTTGCTAATTAGTGCAAAATGAAATTTTCCCTTTCATATTTTGAAAGAGACGAGAACATTATAAAATATAAATATTATTTTTACTCGACGGCTATTTTTGATCTTCACGTTTGAACATATATATTTTAATAGTATATATATTATAATTTATCGATTATACAATTCTGTTTTAAGAAATAACTTGATACTGAATAAAACCATCATTAAGATTTCAAAATGTTGCATAAATTTCATTTTGACTAATAATAAAATTATAAGATTTTAATTAATAAAAAATAATAAAAATAATAAATAAATAGTTAATTCAATTAAATTTAATTAATATTAAACGGAACAAATATGACAAAAAGTTATACCTGTTAATCGAACAGGAATTAAAATTAAGTATTTATATCGATTGAATAAAACTGCTTCAAATATGCTGGAGCACATGATTATATAAATAGAATGCAGTTCTCAGCGATTTATATTTATAATTGAAGAAAATTATAATCTTCTGTCCATTCATATATTTCTGAAAATATATTTTTAGATTGAATATTATATTAGAATATAGATTTATTATATTAGAATATAGATTTATTATATTAGAATATAGATTTATTATATTAGAATATAGATTTATTATATTAGAATATAGATTTATTATATTAGAATATAGATTTATTATATTAGAATATAGATTTATTATATTAGAATATAGATTTATTATATTAGAATATAGATTTATTATATTAGAATATAGATTTATTATATTAGAATATAGATTTATTATATTAGAATATAGATTTATTATATTAGAATATAGATTTATTATATTAGAATATAGATTTATTATATTAGAATATAGATTTATTATATTAGAATATAGATTTATTATATTAGAATATAGATTTATTATATTAGAATATAGATTTATTATATTAGAATATAGATTTATTATATTAGAATATAGATTTATTATATTAGAATATAGATTTATTATATTAGAATATAGATTTATTATATTAGAATATAGATTTATTATATTAGAATATAGATTTATTATATTAGAATATAGATTTATTATATTAGAATATAGATTTATTATATTAGAATATAGATTTATTATATTAGAATATTTATTAGAATATAGATTGAATTGAATAAATATGTTTTTAGATTGAAAGTAATCTTAAAATACTTTGATAGAACAATTTCTGCTTAATAGTAAAAATATCCTTATAGTTATGATTTACTAAAAATAAACGAAGTTAACAAATAGCTTAAAAAATAACATTTTCCATCTTCGGTGCAATTAAATAAATTATGAATTAACAATTTTTCGTGAAATACATTTGAGTTGAAAAATGATATAAAAAATAATATAAAAAATACACATATTTATATAAAAATAATATTAAAAAAATTTATTAAGAAAATACATTTTGTGATATAATAGAATAAACTTTTTATAATATAAATGTATAATATATAATATAATATGTCAAGGAAATGAACAATCATATTAAACTAAACAAAACTTCACTTTTCAAAAGTACCTCTTATTTCATAGAAATCTTAAAAATTTATATTATTTTTTTATAATAAATTAAAAAAACAATTAAAAATACATTTTTCTATTACGTTATTTATATAGTTAATTTTTGTATCCATGTTTATATTTATTTATAATATTGCAATGTTATTAAATAACTTTTCATTATTTAACAATTAATGAGTTCTTTAATAAATATCATCGGATAGTTATAAAATTAATAGTATATGCAAGGATGGAATAAGATAATAAAATCATAAATTACATTATCAACTAACTTAAAAATTTATTAAAATTCGTAATTAATAAAACTTCATGCCTATTGCACGAGCAGCTCGACGTATCACTTGGGAATGCGACATAACTTCAACGATCAACTTAACGACGGCAAAAACCGCTACACATTTTTCGCTCCACAAGATCGAGCATGGCAAAACTTACACATCATGCAACCCTCAGTTTACAAGAAGATGTTCATGCCCGAGTTTGCTTATCACGTATGTTTAAAACTCTCAACTTAGGCTAATAAAGAAAGAGTATGATAAATTTTTCATATTTAATTAATTAAATGTGAACTATTTAACGATTCAGCTCACTAAGTTGAATTGCCTGAGTATGTAAACATTCAAAATTTGCCTGAATCAATCAGCTTCGTATTAATAATTAATATTTCTGTTCTGAATTTTTAGACGAAACAAATTTTGGAACGACATCTCATTGTAGGCGAAGCTTTCACAATGAAAAGATTGTTGGAATTAGATCAAAACGGGACTTTGAAACTTCAAAGCATGAGAGATAAATTGAATATTAAAATAAGGGAAACTGGAGAAAGTAAGTTATTCTTTTTGTAATATAATTCTTTATAGTAAACTAATTATAAAGTAACTGCTATTAATTAATTAAACAATTATCAAATATTTATATTATTTAAAATAAGACTATGAGAGTTTGCCTTGTCGATAAAAAAAGCGATAAATTAAGATCACTAAATTAATAAATACCATCAGAAATAATATTAATTTACACAGTTTAAATCTTCCGGTTCTACTATTTATAGATAATATTGAAAAAGTTATTTGTATACACCTATATTTGTTCTTACAATATGTACTCTTATTATATTTAGACGACAAGGTCATTGACGAAAACGCAATTCGTTCAAATCATGGCGGTGAGTTTGTATCGTGCTTAATGCGACATACGCTTCAGCAATATTCACGAGTGTCAACGCTTTTGTGTATTCTTTGGAAACTAATTGTTCAAAATAAAACAAATCCTTGAAAATATATAGCAAAACCCTTATGGTTAATTAATTCTGTTTGTTTGACTTAAGCGCTGATATGTAATATATAATTCGTTTTGTCAATATTTTCTAATAATACATAAATATAAAATATCCACTTAAAATGAATAAAACTGCATAATTTTTGCTTATATAGAAATATATGATATTTAATCTTGATTTCAAAAGAATACAAAAATTTGCCACAATGATAAATTAATTGCACAAACTCAGTAAAGTATTGAAGCATGATATAAGTCTTTATTATTAGCCAAAGAAGTAATTTCAACACTTGTCATACAACTTTGCATGGAGACTGCGCCGAATATTTAAAAAATGTAATTTATTGAAAATTCTTAAAATGCAAACATTTCATTGATAATATGTTAGCAGTGAAATAAGATCATCAGTTAATGACATTTAATAGAATTTTTTTTTAGTTTTAACAAATAAATATAATTTTTATAATTAAAATTATGTGCCCTTGTCTGATCAAAAGTACAAAAAAACGAAATCATACAAGAGATATAGAGCCAATCGATTTTTTAGAAAAGTAAAAAAATCACATAATAGCATTGGTGCTTGAGTTTAAAAGAAAAAAATAGAAAAAAACGTAGTATGAATATTCACTCATTATGTGCCTCGTGTGGGCGATGATTTATTATACACCTTTCGGCTGCCATTTAAATGCAAATTCCTTGATTACTCTCGGCGTGCTAATTACTGCGTGTTAGCCTTGCATTTTGTATCCCTTACACTTGCAAGCCTCACTTGAACTCTTTTATTTTCATCATGTTGCGACATCGCACTAGATAAAATCGTAAATATAGTTTCACGACGCTTTTATATGCTCTATTCAAAGCTTTATTTTATTTTTTATAAAGCGGCTGAAAAAATTCAAAATTATTCTTCGATGAAATAGTGTAGGCAACGAATTGAAATTCCTACTACAAATTACCCTGAGTATTTTTTATATAATAACTTTTACAAAATAAGACACTATACTTACTATATACAATAGAGTATATTTTGTAGCAGTTACATTTTGTATTATTTATTTTAACATTATATTATATTATAACTGGAAATTAAATAGCATTGTATGAAATTATTAAATTTGAAACATTATATTTAAATTCAAAGTAAACAATTTACTTTATTAATTTAATTTAATATAGAAAATATATTTATAAACACAATAAATACATCTTTTATTACTATATAGTATATATATATATATATATATATATACATAATAAACACTATTTATATTATAAAATAAAACGTTATTATTAATTATAAATTAAACCCTTAAAATATTTTATGTGAGTATATATTTGCTAAATAAGTAATGATTTAAACTTATTCTCATATATATTTTTACAGAGCAATATTAAAAGATAGTACAAACGTTCATATTAGCATAGGATGATATTTAGAAACGGAAATTGTTCGATACATGTAATTTTACTGTTTATCAAGTCTGCTTTTAGAGAGAAACTTGTATATTTTGTTGATTTTATTTATTTTTTATTAGCTATAAATTGATGTAGCTAATTATTTTTAGATTATTTATTTGTAATGATCTGATTTATTTTATACTCGATTTGAATGAATTTTTTAATTAATGTTTCTTTTATGGCTGTTATATATTATTAATAATCAAAACTAATGATTATATTAAACCAGAATATTTATTATCATTTGCGTTATTTTGATTTCATCCTAAATTTTATTACTTATAAGTTATTACTTATTAAAAAAAAAATTATTAAAAATTAATATAATTATTATAATGTTTATTCTCACATATCACGCTTAAGAAATTCATGAGAACAAACTTTTTGTTTCCAATTCTATCTATTAAAATATTTACATTAATACTATAAGTAAATCTTAAAAGAACCAAATAATTTATTATTTGGAAATTTAATATATTTGTACTAAATTAAAATTAATGGTAAATGCACATCTGCTAATTATTTTTAGATAACATCAAAAATAGAATTATGATATATGATATTTATGATATACTTCAATTATTTTTATATATAAAACAATTGAAATTTATTTAAATGTTTGTATTATGATATTGTAAATAAGTAAAAGAATATTAAATTATGAATTTTTAATTATAAGACAAATATACAAATAATTAACTCCATTAATTGATACTAAAATAAATTTTTTTTTTTTAATATTGGAATGCTCCCAATAACTTTCAATTCTCAATAACTAACATAATTTAATTTCTTAGGCTATCAAATCGAATGGAGAGGCAAGAAGATCAAGGTGATTCGTCCGGATGTTGCCTGTACCAACGGCATTATCCATGTGATCGACGACGTTATGCTAAGGGAAAATGATATTCATGTAACGGGTAGCGGCGCCTCCATGCCTGCATTAGCCGCTTTAATCATACATCAAGTTATTACATTTCTCATTGCTAAGTTCCTGCTGTAAATTGATAGGCAAAACATTCTAGATCTAAAGCAATTCAATACGAACATGTGCGACGCCACGTTTTGTCTCACGAATATACCTATATCATACATTTTACTGATCCGTCTCAACGTTTGTTTGTTGTAACGAAGAAGTTTAAATACAAAGGTAGATAATAAAGGAAGTTAGAGAAAAATAGATAGAGATAGAGAGATAGAAAGAGAGAAAGAGAATAAGAGAGTTGAGGATGATGGCAGATCGGAGGGAGGATATAATGAGAGAGAGAGAGAGAGAGAAAGAGTATAATATAAATATAATGGCCTATTATACAGCCTTTATTTTGTGGTCAATAACCAATAATAGCGTAGCATTAACTAAAGATTTTTATCCTAACTCGTACATTGTCGGTATTTTTCGCGTTTAATTATTAAAAAAAAATTAACCTTTTCCAATAATCGTAACCATCAGTTATATTTATAACCATATTTATATCAAGTATGTGTTACATAGTCAATTGGCAGTTAATTAGAGTGGATTTTAATTATCGTGCATTTAAAAGTCTTCATTTCTGTATTTGAAATATTATTAATTCATAATTTTCATAATAATGTTTTCATGTATACCCCACATAAAAATTTTAAATATAATAAATATTGAGATACTTTAATGAAATGAATACAATAAGATTTTAATAGAATCTTTCTCTTATTTATTCTAAAAGATATATTCTACATTAATTTTATTAAATTCAATTAATAAATTATGTATTACTAATAAATATACTAAAAGTATATTTTAAAGTAATTGTTATAAGTAATTGAGTATAATAAATGAGTATCCATTTAATTGAAAAATTTTAAATAAAAGCATATAATTTAAATTTATAAATTATAATAGAACTTAATTTACTGCTCGAAGTTATAAACGCGAAAATAACAACGGTTAAGAAGCGTTATTTTAAATTTAGAAAAAATCAAGAACATCAGTTTTTTTGCAATTGATAAAACTTTAATTTTACAATGCACAAAAAGGCCAAAATCTTGGATGTAAAATAGTAGAACCATCAAAAGAGAATATACATCAATTTTATAACGACTATATATCTTTCATTCTTATTCTTCATAAAGATAATAAAAAATGCCAATTATGATTGTATAAATAATGTGCCTACTATTATGATAGCTGAATATTAACAAAAAATAAAAATATATATTGGATGGTTCGCTGATTATTAGAACGGATTTGGGCCTTCAATTATAAGAGATTAGTATATTAATAAATTGCAAAAAGTGATCATCTATAAATTCGAATAACGACACACTTTATAATTATGAGTTCATGTGTCAAAATAAAAAAAATTGCACTGATTGTACCAAATAATTAATAATTATTATAAATTAAGTAATCATAATAGGATAGTAAATACTCTGCCTGGCCATCTAACAATATATAAAAAAAAATTGTTCAGTCCGAAATTTAGCAAGATACTTCAATTTCAAAATAAATAGTTTTAATATTTATAACATTTGAGTTGAGATTAATTTCTTTGTATGATATATGCGATTATATCATATATTACTACTGCAAATTAAATATACAATATCGTATTTCTAAATGTAATTAATATAAATTCTGATGGGAAAAGATTTATATCAATCTGTGAAATCGATGAAAAAATTTTTATACGTTTTATTCAATAATATAAATTTTTTTGTAAACTTATGATGGCATAAACAATTTAATAAAAACTAAAGTTTTGTATTGCATTGATGAAAATCAAAATTTTTATAATATATCATTACAAAAATTTAAATAATTATCACGTAATGTAATATATTTAATTTTTTAATTTCATATACCTCATGTTAATATGAACAATAATTCAAAACAATTTACGTAATACTTTTAAAGATTACCAAATCTAATAAGAATTATGTATATTAAGTACATAAACAGAGTATAACAAAATCTTGCTATTACCTTTTAACTTTAGCATACATATTTATTATAAGCTACTTTTATGAGCTACATATAAGAAAACACATTCATGATATTGACAGATTGATTTAGTGCTGAAGAATATTGAATTTTGCATAATTATAACCATAAATTTTTTGAACGAATCAGACATTAAAATATTAATAATTAGAAAAATTAATTTGTAAAATAATATCATATATAAAGTGACAAAATGAACATGATACAAAATGAAATAAATAATAATGATAAAATATTCCAAATTTTCTATACATGTCTTCAAAAATCAAACAAATCCAATTTTAGTGAAATAAAAATATAACAGTAATGTCTTCAAAGTTAAATTATAAATGTTCCTTTTCACGAGCTTTTACAATAAGTATTTTATCACGAATATAAAAAATTAACCGCGGAGGAATATAAATTTAAGTAATTTAGATAAATATAGATGCATATGTATTTTTTTTTAGTTTTTTTTTGATAAAATAAAATACATGTGCTATAATAATTATAAAATGAAATGTATAGATGAATATTTAAAAATTTTTAAATTTAAGAATCAGCAAATTCAAAAGATTTATAAAAAAATTAATTTTTTATTAATAATTACGAAAGAAATTTTTAGTAATATAATATCAAGGAGCAGCAAAAAATTTTTGCTTTATCATTAATAACTTTCATAATTCATTAAAAAAACTTTACTTTAATGGAATTGAGAAATAAGAATATAAGTAAACTTTATAATGAATAAAATGAAATTTTTTAATGTGTGACATCTAAGCACACATATTTGCAGTATAAAAAAATTAATCTTTTGATTATGCGATTTGAAAGTGCCATTCAAAAATTTTAAAAATATCTCCAATGAAGTTTTGCGAATACTGAAATCGAGTTTATATGTACAATAAAATGAAAAACTGCTATCTATCGCACGGCGTATTCATTAAATATTAAATTATCAATATTGAATCAATATTAAATGAAAAAAATAAAAATAGAAGTTGATGTTACATATTGATATTAATACTTATATCACATATAAAAAATATAAGGTATACTACTAAATAATAATAAAAAAGAAAGTATATGAATTATTTCAAAAGTTTATTGATGAAATGAAAATGTCACGAAAGATAATTACTATTAAATTAATAATATTTTTTACGTATAAGGTCATTTTTTAATTACTTAATATTATTATTTCTATATTATAGACCATTAAAGATATTTAAATGTATAAAAACCATTTTTAGAAAGTTCTCAATTATAAATTTTAATTATGGATATAGATTTACTTATTAATTGAGAGATTATTAATTAAATAGTTATTTTAGAGAATTATAAAAATAAATTTGTAGACAATGATTAATAAAAAAAGATAACCAATGATAAAACTGATTTACAAAAAAATGATAATACTTGTTGGATGAATATTATTAAATAAAATAATAATTATTAAATATATAAATACAAATTATGGTTAAAGCTGTTTATGCAATATAGAATGAAAATAGATTTATTCAAAATAGTAGACAATTTCCATATGTACATGTGTTTTAAATTGCAGCTTATTATATACGAGAAAAAAATTTGAAATACATATGTACACTTAACTTATTCAATTTTGTGTAGTTTAATCGCCATTATTATCTCTAACGACTATAATGAATTTTAGTTACCGAAATCTGTAAATATATACCAGTAAATGGTTAAAATAGCAAAAAGAAATTTATAAATCACTTTTAACATATTAAACTTCAAATAAAATACTATTGTATACTATTAGAAATAATGATATTAAGGTTCTAATTTTGCAATCACTAAAATAATTAATATTCATATTTTTTTTCATATTTCTTTGGTGTTTTTTTTTTTTTTTTTTTTGTAAATTATGTAGATAAGATATAAATTTCAGAAGCCACATTCTATTTGATTTTCTAGTTTAATACAGATTCATATTTTATTTAATATAATGCATTTTGTTTAATAAAATATAATATTTTATGTAATTTATTTGTATCTACTAAATAATATTTCACTAATGAAAATTAAATTTTAATGCTGAATTATTTTATTAATAACGAAAATATGATTTATCTTTTAAAATATAATGAGTTGCAGATTAATAAATTAAATAATATAAAAGTGAAATAAATTAATTTATTTTAATAAACATAATAATAATAATAATTCAAATTTTTTGTGCAAAAAAATATTCATTGATATTCATGATACACAAATTTTAATGAAGAAACCACTTAATGCAATAACAAACTGTGTTTGTATCTTAAATGCACTGGCTAATCATTATTATATTATTTATTTATGCTATCTAGAATATGAACTGTATTGACATAGCGAGTAAAAAATACAATTAAATTCGCTATAAATCTGTTATCGTTACTATAGACCTACCTAGGATTTTCTATAGAAATTTCAATCAGTACTAAAAGGATTTCAGAGTTTAATATTTTCTTATATCACTATATTGTTCACAAATAATTTTAATATTACTTGTAATTCATTGCTTGGGAATTTTATTTATATTGGTTGATTTAAATTCTTTAAAATTTTCAGTAATAATAATAATAACAAAATGATATTGTTACAAACATTATATTATATTAATTGAAGATATGAAATTTTAGTATTTTCTTAAAGTTTGAAAATTCAATGTCTGTGAAAACAGTTTGTAAAAAATTACTTGAACCACATTTTAAGGTGATCACAGTTAAACCATAATATTTCGGGAGATACAGAGCGGGGATTTTAAGCACATTTTTCTAATAATAATATGAGTATTTGATAAAAGTGCGAATTTAATATATAATATTGTCGAGGAAACAAAATTTCATTAATCTAGAATTTATTATATAAATATAACAGTGCTTGCTGCGTTTTTTAGATTCTAGTGAATTTGAATAATCCAATATTTATACAAGTGTAAACAATAGTCAAATTCTTTATTCAATAACATTGATTATGAAATAATTAAAAGTAAAAAAAAAATCTTACAGCTGCGGTAATTATAGAAAATTACTCTCCAAAAAGTGCACTGGTAATATAATTGCTCTACGCTAATGTCCTTTTTGTTGCACAACATTACATAATCAATTATGTTGTAAATTGGATAACCTGCATAAGCCTCGCTTCTTTTCAAGTTTCAAGGAAAGAATATTATTTATATGTATTTATTGTATAAATTTCCTGAATTACTTTCTGTCATATAAAAAAAAAAAAATATATATATATATATATATAATAGAATAGTTTAATAAATAACGAGAACAAATTTATTATTACAACATAAAACCATATATATTATAACCTTTCGAATGACGATTCAACAATTATTAACATTTTCGAAATGAAAACGGTATATTTTACATATTTTCATTTCCATGTGCTGAAACTCAT